CGTGTGAGATGTTTTAATGATAGGAGGGTCCTACTAAATGGGTGTCTTCATAAAAGGAGGTAACATTTGTCAAGTTTAAAAGATTGTTTTTTAACCCATCAAATACTGTTAAGTCACACCCTAATATTAGAAACCCTTCCGAATGGGGTTTATATTTATGTGAGAGGGGAGACAATAACAACCTAGGTAAATGTGAAAACCTGGGTTATAAAAGTAGAAAAAAGGTCAATTGAAAGTAACGAGTATGTTGTTGTTACTAGGTATCACCTGGTTGGTTCTGACTCATAGCAACCCTACATTCAAACACATAAGCACTGCCTGGCCTTGGAGGGCATTGCTACAGCACTGTGTCAGGCCACCTTGTCATTTTTTCCCACTCCCCCTCCACTTTACCTCGCATGATGTCCTTCTGCCGAGACTGTCTCTCAGCATCATGTCCAGAGTACTTGGGATGAAGTCCATTATCCTTGCTTCTAAGGTGCATTCTGATGGTGCGTTTTCAAAGACAGGTTTGTTGGTTCTTTTGACAGTGCATGGTACTTTCAATATTCTGTTTGGGTCTTCTTTATTCAGTGCCCAACATTCAAATGTATATGAGGCAACTGAAAGTACTAGGCTTGGCTCAGGTACACCTTAGTCCAAAAATAACCTCCTTGCTTTTCAACATTTTAAAGAAGATTTTTGCAGCAGATTTCTATGGGCATTGATTTTGGATCCAAGAATGATGAAATCCTTGACAACTTCAGTACCTGCTCCATTTATCATTTTACCTGTTGGTCTAGTTGGGAGGATTTTGGTCTTCTTGACACTGAGTTGTAGTCCAGACTACAGGCTATAATCCCTGATCTTCACCAGCAAGTGCATGCAATCCTCACAGCAGGCAAGGTTGTGTCATCTGCATATTGCAGGTTGTCAATAAGTCTTCCTCCAATGCTGATGCCACATTCTTCTTCATATAATACAGCTTTTCTAATTATTTGCTCAGCAAACATTAAAAAATTAAAATATAATCTTAATGATAATGATCCATAATTTATGCATTCTAATGGGTCACCTTTTTATTGGTATTAATATCAATATCTTCCTTTCAGCTGCCTTACAAATTTCTTGGCATACACAGGTAAGTGCTTCTGTGCTTCATCAGCTGGTTGAAACATTCAATTGGTATTCCAACAATTCCCGATGCCTTGTTTTTAGCTAATGCTTCCAATGCAGCTTGAATTTTTTTCCCTTTAACACCATTGCCTCTTGCTTATATGCGACCTCCTGAAAGTGTGGGATATTGACTGATTCTTTTTGGTACAGTGACTGTGTATTGTTACCATGTTCTTTTGCTACCTGAATTGTGCAATATTTTGCCCATAGAATCTCTCATTACTACAACCTAAAACG